ATCCTTAATTGCTGCACTCCCGGGGGTGTTTCGGAAGTCCACAGTTTTGGGGGTTTAGGATGTACGGTGTAGTGGTTTAGGGTTTAGGGGTTTAGGGTTTAGGGGTTTAGGGTTTAGGGGTTTGGGGTTTTGTGGTTTAGGGTCGAGGGTCAAGGGGTTTAAGGTTTAGGGGTTTTGGGTGTAGGGGTTTAGGGTCTAGGGGTTTAGGGTTTGGGAGTAAGGCCCTGAGCCCAAAATCCTTGGGGAGTTGCGAGTTTGGGACTTTGGGTTTATAGCATGAGGGGTCTTTGGGTTGGTATCTTTGAGATTAGGGGGCCGTTTGGGGATAAAGGTTTAGGGTTTCAGGGGCCGTTTGAGGATAAAGGTTTAGGGCTTAAGGGGCCGTTTGGGGATAAAGGTTTAGGGTTAAAGGGGCCGTTTGGGGATAAAGGTTTAGAGATTAAGGGGCTGTTTGGGAAGAAAGGTTTAGAGTTTAAGGGGCCGTTTGGGGATAAAGGTTTAAAGATTAAGGGGCCGTTTGGGGATAAAGGTTTACGGTTTAGGGTTTAGGGTTTTTGGTGTATGCATACAGTACAAACTTTGACTCTCAAAGCTACCATATATTGGCAAGTGATTGCACGTTTGGGATTGAGGGTTTCGGTTTTGTTTGCGTGTTTTTTTGCATGCCTGCGGATGCGAGCTTGAGGGCATGGAGCTATGACTAGTGGAAGACGAGGACAACGAGAATATCACGGGAAGGCAGGACAACACTGCAAGCGCATCGACATGAATATGTCCTGAACTTCTTGCCCCAAACCCAACCCGAACTTCCATGCGGCCAGGTGAAGACATCGCAGGAGACGAATCTGGGCAAGGAACGAATTAGGGTTCATGGTTTAGGGTTTACGGGGTTGGGGATTTAGGGTTGGGGTTTAGGGTTCACTGTTTAGGGTTTAGGCTTAATGCTCCGGCGAAACAGAGACCCTTTCCCGGTATACCGCTGGCATCAAATCGCACGCTAAAACCCAAAATCCAAAACCCTAAACCCGAAAAAGCCGAATCGACATCCTGAACCCTAAACCCTAAACCCTAAACCCTAAACCCTAAACCCTAAACCCTAAACCCTAAACTGAACCCAGGCTCAAGTCTATTGTCAGCCGACTGCGCGGTGACCCGGATGAGGACCGGCAGCAGGCTCCCACTTTTCGGTTTCTGGTTTAGGGTTTAGGGGTTTAGGGTTTAGGGTTTAGGGTTTAGGGGTCCGTTGGTTTTAGAGTGCATGGGTCCTGACAAAAGGGACGGTTTAGCGTTTAGGACAGAGGGGGGGCTGACAAAAGGGACCATAGCATCAACCGTGTGTAGGATGGCACCCTAAACCCTAAACCCTAAACCGTCCCCCTAAACCCTAAACCTTGTTGGGACTATGGCTTGCAGAGCACCAGGTGCGCGCAGGGTTTAAAACGTCAACGGCGTCCTGGCCCTATAGGCGTTTGGCGTTTTCTCTGTAAAGAATTCTTGTGGACGTTCCGAAATTTAGGGTACCTTATTTTGGGGTCCTTATAATAAGGAACCTATTATTAGGGTACTATATTAGGGTCCCCTGTTTTTGGAAGCCCCCAACTCTTATGGACGTTCTAGTCTGAGTCTAAGTGCTAAGGCGCCCCTACAGTCGGGGTTGGAGTCCCCCTGGATACTGTTGAAACAGGCTGCCTGCTTATAACCCTTCTGAAAATCTTGCTCAACCTTGATTAATGCCACTCAAGAGCCTTCGCAAATTGTTTCTGAGAACTTATTACAAAACGTTGGTAAAACTCTGAAACCCCTCAGAAGCGCTTGGAGACCGTTGTAAAAGCCTCGAGCCCTTCTAGTCATTCTAGTCGGAGGCCTCAAAAGGCGGGATGAAGGTAGGTAAGGTATCTTACATAAGGGCCCTAGGGTTTGCCCTAAACCCTAAACCCTAAACTTTCGGGTTTAGGGTTACCTTATATAAGGACCCTTGTTTGGGATCACCCCACACCCTCAGAGCCCCCCCAAGCCCTTGAAAGGAACCTATAAAGTCGTTACAGGACCTGAAAGGATCCCCTCTAGGAGCCCTTGTAGCAATCCTTCTTGCAACCCTTACAGTAACCCTTATAGAAATCCTATAGGAACCCTGAAATGAACCTTTGATTCTAAGTCCCTCTCGGGATTTCCTCACCCTTAAACGCTAAACCCTTTGAGCCTTATATACCCTAAACCCTTTATAAACCCTATAAACCGTCTAAACTCTAAAACCTATAAACCCTCTAACCCCTAAACCCTATACTCCCTATAAGCCGTATAATCCCTCTAAGCCCTATAAACCCTAAAAGCCCTTATAAGCCCTATAACCCCTCTAAGCCCTATAAACCCTATAAGCCCTATAAGCCCTATAAACTCTACAAACCCTAAAACCCTACAAACCCTATAAACCCTATAAACCCTAAAAACCCTATGAACCCTATAAACCCTATAACCCCTAAACCCGAAGGCCTGACCTCTAACCCCAAGAGTGCCTCCAGGCCTACGAGGAGATTGAAG